ACACACACACACACACACACACACACACACACACACACTTCATTGAGGCTGTCAGCTGCACTTTTTGAGACTTTAGATTTTTAGACTTTGAGATTTGAGACTTTAGTCTTTGCAACTTTACAGATCTTCTTCATGCACCAAGAGCTTGAAACACTCCAAAGAGAAAGGAAAAATTGAAATAGCATCATATGACCCCTTTAAGTATGCTCCTGGTTAATGTTTTTGAAAGAAAAAGTCTCTTATGCTCACCAAGTCTGCATTTCTGTGATCAAAAATACAGTAAAAACAGTAATATTGTGAAATATTAATACAATTTAAAAGAACTATTTTCTATTTTAATATATTTTATTCCTGTGATCAAAGCTGAATTTTCAGCATCATTACTCCAGTCTTCAGTGTCACATGATCCTTCAGAAATCATTCTAATATGCTGATTTGCTGCTCAATAAACATTTATTTTTATTATCAATGTTGAAAACAGTTGCGCTGCTTGAAATTTTTGTGGAAATGGTGATACTTTTTTTTGTCAAGGATTCTGAATAGGAATAGGAAGATTTATTTGAATTAGAAATCTTCTGAAACATTATAAATGTCTTTACGGTCACATTTGATCGATTTAATGCATCCTTGCTAAATAAACATTCACTACATTAAAAAAAAAAGTATTGTACATGTGTTTTGTATACCTGTGATATTGTGCCTGCAGGAACTGAAATTCGTCTTTGATGCGATCACAAGAGTCTGACGTGGTGAATTTGAGCGGCTGTGTCGATTGAGACGAAGCCTGAAAAACAAAGACAACAGATGAGAGATTCTATTCAACCCGACCTCTAAATGTCCTGATGAACAAGCTAGAGGTTGGTTAACACAGTGTTTCCCAACCGGGGTGCCGTCTGTCGAGAGCAGGTTAACCGCTATGTTATGCTCGCGTGTTCTGAAAATAATAGCTTTCTAGGACTAAACATTATTTGGATAAATGGTTATAAAAAAAGAAAAAAAAAAAGTTAAATATCTTAACCCTTTAAGTTAGACCTACCTGAAAAACTAATAAGCAATTTATTTAATTCGAAGGTCTGTCGTTATTTTTTATTTGTGCTATCATTATTAATTTCTTTATTTGTTCTTATTTTATTACTGACTGCTTGCTTGTCAGCTTGATTTCAAACTTTCAATTGAATAAAAAATCTTGTGCTACTGCACCAAAATAACCCCACTGTAAAATAAAAAAAAACACTGAGTGAGCAAAAATTTGTGAGATAGCTAGTTATAATGGTAATTAAATAATGTTTACATATGTATAAAAGCCTACATTAAAATCTGTCATATAAATTGGTCTCTTCATTAGAAATTAGCGTACTGATTGCCACCATTGATGGACAATTTTTTAATTTTAAAATATCTGTATGACATTATATTCTGCAGTTCTTCCCTGTTGTACCGAATATCTATACTTTTCAAATTATCACATCGAAGTTAGAAATTCAAATATTGTGACAAAATAAATTTTGTAGGGTGCCACAAGTTTCTTAAAATTTCCAAAGGGTGCCGCGACTAAAAAAAAGTTGGGAAACACTGGGTTAACACACTGAACCATAAAAGATATTCAAATGGTAAGACTCTTCCTCTGTGGTTATCAAGCTAAATTTTTGTCTTAAAGGAGACATATTATGCCCCTTTTTACAATATGTAATATAAGTCTCTGGTGTCCCCAGAATGTGTCTGTGAAGTTTCAGCTCAAAATACTCCATAGATCATTTATTATATAATTTTGAAAATGCCTATTTTGAGTGGTAGCAGAAACATGCTGTTTTTCGTGCCTGTCTCTTTAAATGCAAATGAGCTGCTGCTCCACGCCCCCTTTTCCAAAATAGAGCTGCACCATTACAGCTGGTACCTGCTAAAAACATCTGTTTTTTTCTTATTTTGGTTCTAATTTTAAACCATATTACTTTAAACATCTGATATACGGTTTTCTGAGAGCACACATCCGAAGCACACGGACAAAAAGCGGCTGTCACAGCATGTGAGTACTAAACTAAGTTCTCATTCACACACAAGTTTATGTTAAAAACACAAAAAAAGAGTTACAAAAACAGTGGGTTATGTCTGTGAAGGTAAACAGCTGGGAAATAAATTGCATGTTTATTTTAGATCTGTGTGGCAGCAGCAATATACAGTAAATAACTCAATACATCCACTGCTGTCTTGTCTCCTCTGAGGCTGTAAATAGTGTTTGTGCTCATCTGTGCAGCCAAAGACAGAACAGTTAGCAAGTTTTGCTCAAACTTTCACCATGGCATTAGAACTGGTACACCGTTTTCGCGTGCGAAATCAAAATGATGGTGCCACGGGTGGAAACTTACAGATTAAGGGGCGGTAATATTATAATGAGA